CGGCAGGTGGAGGTGGGAACCTCCCAGGCATGCTCAGGCAGAGCCGCAGGACCTGGGCAGGACGCTCGGGAAGAACCGTGCAGCCTGCAGCCCTGGGGGTTTGGACGGTGCCGGGCAGAGGCAGGTCTCACGAGTGGTAACATGACGGAGACGGCTTAGTCATGGGCAGACCCAGCTGTGGAGATGGGCAGACAGGTGGGTTGACAAAGAGGCCTGGCAGAAGAAAGGTGCCAGAGGGGCACTGGGGTCCAGGGAGCTGTCAGACAAGGTGATCAGCCATTTTGGAGAAGAATTGGGCTACTAGGTAGGTTATCAAGGCAGAGACACAGAAAGACTAAAGCTCAGCTTCTCCAGCTGAGGTAGGAACTCTTGTTGTTTCAGGAGCAGAGCAGGGAAAGCAGAAATGCTGATGTACTGCTCAGTTTCTGGCTATGACAGCTTACATCCCCCCTAATGGGCAAGAGGGGTCCCAGCCTGGAGTGGACCGCGACTGGGGTACGTGCCCTTGGCTGGAATCGAACCCGTGACTCACTGATCCGTGGGCCGACTCTCTACCGCTGAGCCAAACTGGCCAGGGCCACCCTAGGATGTTTTCAGGGTCACATGGGACTCACAGACAAGTCTGGCAGACCCACCCTTTGTTTTGGTTTCTCCAGAAGCTGACTGGGAGACCACGACTGGCCGTAAGTGTTTTTGCTTTTTTTTTTTGACGTGGCCCTAGGAAGCGTTATGAGGGGGCGGGGAACTGAGACAAGAAATGAAGGAAAGCCGATGAAAGTGTGTTGATAAGAGGATTTCCACTGTGGGCAACTGAGCTCACGCTCCAGGGGCCCCGCTGAGAAACTGTAGGGTAGAGAGCCAGGGTGTTCAGCCCTCCTCTCGTGCTGCTTCGGCGGAGAGTGCACCTAGCCGGGCTGACGGCCCAGCACTCTGCCTGGGCGGAGCGCTGCAGGGGTGTGTATGGCAACCACCCAGCTCACGATGGGGGAGGGAGGGGACAGGGACAGGGGTGGGGGGACCTGGCAGGACTCCAGCAGCATCGGCTAAACCACCTTCATATATGGAAGACACTCAAGTTTTTATTTTTTTATTTTATTTTTAATTAATTAATTTATTTTTGTTACAGATGTTTCTCCTTTTTTCCCCACTGATTCCCCTTCCCCCACCCTCCCCACCCTGTCCCCAGCTTTGCTGCCCATTTCCATTGTTCATGCACACATGCATATAAGTTCTGTGGTTTATCTCTCCCCCACCACCCTCTCTTCTGGGGATTGTCAGTCTGTACCCCACTTCCACGTCTCTGGGACTAGCCCATTCCTCAGACTATTATGTTCATTATATTCCACAAATAAGTGAGATCATATGATACTTGTCTTTCTCATATGATACTTGGCTTGTTTCGCTTAGGATAATACTTTCCAGGTCCCTCCATGTCGTCTCAAAGGATAAGAGATCTTTCTTTCTTACAGCTGCATGGTACTCCATTGTGTATATGTACCACAGCTTTTTTATCCATTTGTCTACTGATGGACATTTGGGCTGTTTCCAGATCTTAGCTATTGTAAATAGTGCTGCTACGAACATGGGGGTACATATATTCTTTCTGATTGGTGTTTCAGGCTTCTTAGGGTATAGACATTCAAGTTTTTAAATTTTCATTTTATATTTGACAGTCCTTAAAATAAATAGCCATCTTATCCCAAAATGGGACATTCCTTCACTGTTGTTAATATTTTATATTTCCAGAGTAGGTGCTAATTGTTTTCTTCAGTCTCTATGTCACCGTAAATTGTCACCATAAATATTTTCTTTCAGGTAGCCTGTCTGAACATCAGCCTGCAAGTGAGAAGAACATAAAGTAGTCTGAGTGGTCCCTATTCGATCAGTACTGAGACATAAGCAGGTTTCCAGAGTATGCGTAATGTTACGTCTAGAAACGGACATTTTCAGCACAGGCAAAGGCAGGCATTAAGCACATCAACAGGGTTTCAGGCTCGGACTCCTGACCTCTAGGGATCTGGTTAGATGTTAGTGGGCCAACAAGAAAGTGCTTCTACCACATTCCCAGGCTTCTCCTGCTCCTTGCTCCCGCCTTCGGCGTTTCTAAGCACCTTGCAAGGCCCTGCCTGGAATTCAAATGCAAGTGAGGTCTAGCGTCCATGGACTAAAGACGGTGATTCGTGTTCAGAGTAAACATGTTCTTCGTAGGACCTTCTACTTCCCTGGGCCTAAGGATCCCGGTGCCCAATCCATACCTCCCAAATCCTTTCAGACGTCTAAGTTAGTTTGTCCTAAAACTACTGCGCCTGCTGAGATTAACATTTGAACTTGCAAGTAATACAAGTGAGGTTTTACTGTCCTAATTTCAAGGTCATGTCTTGTATGTGTGCCTCTGTCCTGACATGTGAGTGGATCAAGCAGGAAGGAGGAAATGTAGGAAGGACAGACCTACTCTCAGTTTGGTAGGAGAGTGTGGCCCCTGCCGGTGACCCGGGTGCTTGATCAAATGCTGGGGGCTGGCACCTCTCCTCACAGAGGTCCTGCCCCTGGGCTGCTCTGGGAGAACAGCTGGCAGTACTGACACGCCTGCGTTTTATTCCGAAGGGTCAGGCGTGGGCAATGTGACGCTCTCCAGGGGAAATCCAAGAGTGACTCCAATCCTTTGTTTTGGCTGCCAGGGCTGGTCACTAGCAAGAAGACGGGCTCCTGTGACTTGCACAACCTCTGATGTCTTTATTGGTCAATCTTTTGGTGACAAACTACATGTATCAGGGATGGAAGGTGAGAAAGGAGAAGGCTGTTTAATCCATAAGAATCTACAAGCAGCTCATGAACAACAGATCTGCCTTGTGCTGCATTATGCTTTGTGGATCCCTTTAGATATTTAGTTACGTGGACAGTGGCAGGCGTGACATTTATGATCCATGCCTGTCACGTTTTAAAATAAAACTTAACACTGGAAAGTGCAAATTAGGCAAAAGAATCCTTTCGGAAGGGTTCAGATGATAAAGTAAAGTAAGCTAGTGGAATTCACCAGGGGACCTGGTATGCTAGAGAATTCATGGAAGTCTGTGATTTATCATAATCCACCTTGTGTTTTTACTCGAATTTGAAAATTACTCAGAGGTGCTGGACTATCACTGACTATTGACACGTCAGTTCTGGGGATACATTTCTGACCGAATTTGTTTGAAACGGACTTTCTGGAAAATTTATTAGCAGGCTGTTCTTAAATTCTCCTCTAGTCTTTTATCCTTTTCTGAGATGTTATTGATTTTTTTTTTCCTGGATGCAATTTTATATGGTAATATCTGTGCAGAGGCAATTTGCTATGGTTCAAGGAACTGGATTCGTATGGGCATTTGTCTTGGTAATATGATTACAGAGTCACTAAGTTGATCTTAATAACATTTACCTATTATGGTGTATTAGATGCATACAAGGAAAACTGCTTTCTAACTCAGGTTCCCCTTGTGCAGCTCCCTTAGTTGGTAATACCTTGCAAAATTACGGTCCAGGTGATTTTGAGTGGCTATCTGTATTATTTTAAACTAGTTAGGATTAAATCCAAATATCATCACAATGTTGCATGCAGAGAGGAAATTACGTCTTTAGGATGCCTTAAGAAACTTTGAAATCATTGATTCACAACATTTTATAAACTAGCCATCCTGCACTTAATCAGATGCTGTTTTTACTCTGCTGTGACTGCAGGAGGCAGCATGATACGAAAAGCTTAGAGTCTGTAGTCAGAGAGCAGTCCTTTGACTGCTTTACTCGTCACACCTGTGTGAACGAGGGCTCTGTGAGTCAACCACTCTGACCCTCAGTTTCCTCTTCTCTTCAAGACAGACTGACGTAGCAGCAGCCCTATCCCAGTTTCCCACTTAGATATTATACTTGTTCCTCCTCGCTAAAACCTTAGTTTGTTTTTAAGATTTCTCCCTTTCTTCTTAAAGCAGACAATAGTCATAGACAAAGATAACAAAAAGACTTGCATGAGATTATTACTAGTAGCTTTATTCATCATGTCCCCAAACTAGAAACAATTCAAATGTCCACCAATAGGAAAACGAATAAGCAGATTGTAGCTTCTCCATGCCGTGGAAAACTACTCATCGGTAAAAGAAAAGAAATATTGATCCATGCGCCAACTTGGGTGAATCTTACAGACATGATATTGAGAAAAGAAGCAGGTATCAAAGAGGGCGTAGTTTTTGATTCCTTTCATACGAAGTTCTAAAACCAGCCAAACTCCTTTATAGTGATAGAAATAAATCGATCACCTTTGAAGGGAAGGTTGGTTTTTTTTGGTTTGTTTTTTGTTAATTCTCACCTGCGGATATTTTTCCATTAATTATTATTATTATTTTTTAGATAGAGTGGCAGGGAGGGAGGGAGGAAGAGAGAAACATGGATGTGAAAGAGACACATCACTTGGTTGCCTCCTGCACATGCCCCAACCAGGGCTGGGGTTTGAATCTGCAACCCAGGTATGTACCTTTGACCAGGAATCGAACCCACAACACTTCGGTGAGCAAGCGAACACTCTAACTGAAGAGCTAAACTGGCCAGTGCTGAAAGGAATGTGTTTTTTGTTGTTGCTGCAATTTTTACTAATTTATTTTTGTTACAGGTGTTTCTCCTTTTTACCTCCTAGATACCCTCCTCCTGAACCCCCCGACCCCCAGCATTGTTGTCTATGTCCATTGGTTACATATACCTGCATATAAGTTCTTTGGTTTATCTCATCCCTCCCCCTAAATCCCTCCTCTGAGGTCTGTCAGTCTGAGCCGGAAAGGAGGGTTTTGACAGAAAGAAGCATGAGGGAACCTTTGGGGGTGATAAAAATGTTCTGTGTTTTGCTTTGGGTCAAAATTTGTTGAACTGTGCAATTAAACCAAGTGTTTTATAGTGTACAAATTATACTTGCAATAAAAGACAACTCACCCATCCATTCGCTGTTTAATGTTCTAATGACCAGTTTTGGGGGTTCTCAGGATGCCGTGACCATCTGTACTCTGGGGATCGGAACGGCCTTTGGAGAGTCCATCCTGGACAACACGCCCCGCCATGCGACCATCGTCACCAGGGAGAGCAGCGAGCTGCTCCGCGTCGAGCAGAAGGACTTCAAGGCTCTGTGGGAGGTGAGCCCGAGGCTTCTTCGTCAATCCATGTGGTTGCAGAAAAGAGAAGGAGCTGCCACATGGATGGTGGTGCTACCGTCAGGTCTTAATGCGTTCTGTTCTGAGCTGGTGGGTGGAATTTAATTTCAAAACTTATTTTTGAAATAAGTGAGTGAAAAAGCCATTTTGACACAGACAATTTTTTTTTTTTAATTTAGTGCTTGCTCAATTTTCTGTAGTTTGACATACCTTATAATTATTTCTTGAATGACCATAGAGTGTTTTATGTATTTCCTCCCTCCTATTCCACAGATGTATTCTTAACCAGGGAACAAAATACTTTGACATTTTCTTTTGCATTTTAAAAATCATCATTGACATGTTCCCTGGTAAAATTGAATGAATGGGGTTACCATCTGCTACATTTAAATGCTTTTAAAAGTGATGTGCCCCATAAGGTATGGGAAAGGAGAGACATAAAGATGTCTGGTTACTTGCCAACTTCAAAACGCTTAGGTGGCACAGCAGTGGATGGATGCGGCTGGTCCTGGTGGCTCTTGCATTTACCGCTGCGCCCCAGCGCCCCTTAGGACACCGCGCTCATTTACAGGAAGTGCAGGAATAAATCGTCTTCTATGCCATAATGGCAAGTGGAGCACTTAGAAGGGCCCAGCTAAGCCTTGCATCTTTCATGCTCATTCCTTTTCAGTTCTTCAAGCTTCTGATTTTAACCTGTGGTTGTTCCTTATCTTTGTCCTGGGCTCAGTATGTCCAAGTGTTCACCCATCGCGCTGGCAGGCTTCACCACCGGTCCCAGTGTAGCTAAGATGTGAAACTTGATCTAAAAAGAATTTTGTGTAATCAAATCGTTTCCCCCAGAGCCAAACAAATGCCAGACGCCTTAAGGGAGCAGGCCTGCCGGTGAATGAGTGATGCTTTGCCTTAAAAGTCCTGCAAAGCCTCGGAGGGCCTTGGTGGTGGAACCGGTGACTTTTATTCTTGGCAGTAGTGAATAAATTGCGGGGTTACTTGTTTGATATGTTTCTCTTAGAAAATATTAAAGAGCTCCAACTGCTCTGTAAAGTTCAGAGACAAAATCTAGTTTTAGGCAAGCCAAGCCGAAGTAGGTTTGCGTGAGGTGTGTGCGGGTGGCTTTCTGTCAATTAAAATGGACCAAGCTTGAGGCAAATAAGCCATTTTCTTTTTGGAGCTTTCATTTTAAAAGGTAAACTGAAAAAGTCTGTTTCAAAAAGGAAATTCAGAAAACTGGTTTAAGAACAAAAAAGATTCCTACCTGTGATGTGTGTCATTATAGTGGCTTTGTGTCTGTGATGACCGCTCCGAACTGCTGGCGATGATTTGGAGAAGGGTCAGAAACTTACTTTAATTAGGAGCCCTCAGTGCTCTGGAGGAAGTTCCTGAGAAGTTACTACCTGGGAATATTAAAAAAAAATGGTTTAAACATTTTTCAAACCTAACAGAAAATAAAAAGGAATAATACAATAAACTGTATACCTGCATTCAGTTCAGCAATTGTTTTTTTGCTTTGTAGTTGTTTTTGTTGTTTTTTTGGGACGACTTTAGTGTAAATGACAGACATCATGACATTTCATCCTAAATATTCAGCATGTATATCTGAAAAATTATAGTATTCTGCTACATACCTATACTATTATTTCACCTAGAAAACTGACAATATCCTAATATTTTCAAATGCCCAGTCAAGAGTTCAAAGTTCCCCAGTTGTTCCACAAACATCCTTTTTAGCTGTTTCCACCCCCCCCCCAAATCAGGCTCAAATAAGGAAGCATATATTGCACTTGATTGCTATGTCTGAGTCAGTCAGTCTGTCTCTCTCCCTCTCTTCCTCCCCTCCTTTCTTCCATTTTCTTTCTCTTTCTCTTTTATTTTCCTTTTTTTTCTCCATGGCATTGACTAGTTAAAAAGGCCAAGTCAGTTTCTCCCAAATTCAAGATTTGTCTGATTGTTTTCTCTTGGTATCTGTTTTTGTACCCCTACCTCAAGGTGTCCTTAAATGGAAGTTAAGGCTGAAGACTTGGTTAAATCGAGCAAATGATTTCGGCAGGAAAACCTCAAAGATGCTGCCTAGTGCAAAGGGAGGCTCATAACGTCTGGTGCCTTACTGTCAGTGATGATAAACTTGGTCCCTCGGTCAGATTTATCTGAGTACATTATAGGGCTGTTTTCCACAGTTATTTCCATTAGAGAAAAATGATTAAATGGAGGTATTTGTTTTGAGGGTGGTCCTTGTGTCCCAAACCTTGCCACATGATATTGCAGCTCCATGGGCCCAGCCCCTCATCTGTAGCCTCGGCATGGTTTCTAGCATGATCTCCCCTGGCAGTGCCTGAAAAGGATGGATAGAGGTTGTTTTTTTTTAATCTTCACCTGAGGACACTTTTCCATCTATCTTCAGATAGACTGGGAGAGAGGGAGGGAGAGAGAGAGAAAAACATTGATGTGAGAGAGACACATTGATTGGTTGCCTCCCGCACAACTCCAACCAGGGCCAGGGACCAAACTGCAACCAAAGTACGTGCCCCTGACTGGAATTGAACCCATGGCTCTTTGGTCTGAGGGCTGACACTCTCACCACTGAGCAAAACCTGCCAGGGCGATGGAGAGAGGTTTTAGTATGAACTCTTCTTTACTGGTCGGGGGACAGGAATCTTATGTGAGTAAGAGATTAGTCAGATATTTCATTTTATTTGCCTATTCATGCACTGAGGTAAAGTGTTCAAATTAGGTGGTCAATCAATTTTTTAACTGGCTAAAATGAAAATGTAAGAAACTCCATTATCTAGCAATCTGTTAATCAGAACTTTATTAGTGGACACATTGTGCTTATACAGTACATGACAGTCCTAAGAAACTGTAAAATTCTATGTTTTAAATAGAAAAGATTGAATTATGTTCATTCTACTGTTCATTTATCCAACAAATCCTTACTATCTGCTGTGCATCAGGTACAGATATAACAGTGAGCAAGACTGAGTTTCTGTTCTACTTGGAGGAGACTGAAAACAAACGAGCAAGTCAATAATATTATTTCAGAGTACAATATATCATTATCATTAAATAAACTTTATTTCTTTATTTTGAATATGGGCAACTCATTGATGGCATATATAGCACTCATCTGCTAATAAAACATTTGATGACCAGAACATCTATTCCTTGATTATGTCAGATGATAGAGTTTATAATTCAGCTATTCATTACACTGGTGAAAAACACCTGTTAGCAAATCTGTCAGCCAAATGCCAAAAGGGAAAGATTTTGAACAGAAGGATTACATAGCTTCAGAATTCAGGTAGAAAGCTCAGTGCATTGAGAGATGGCGGGAAGAAAGAGGCAGAAAGGTAAGCTGGAGAATGCCTCCCATCAGCAAGGGAAGGAGCTCAGTGTTGGGTCACAGGGTCCGAATAGTAAGAAGTCAATAACCTGAATCATGGGTCTAAATTTGCGTGTTCACCTCATTAGTTTATTTACTTTTGAGGAATGCCATGGTGGGTCCACGGTATGGCAAGCAACCTCATATTTAGCATTGCATCCTTATCTATATCCTTGATGTCCCTTAAAGGGGCTGAAGGACAAAACACAAGGACCGGGATTATGGGTTACTTCCTCTAACTCTGAAAATTATGGTCCCTAATAGTAACAGGTAGCACAGATAAAAATAGCTCTTTATTCGGCTGAGCAGACAGTCTATTTTAAATCTCACACTTGGACTTGAATGGCAACACAAAGCTAGAGAATCCTGCTTCCTCTCCTGACCGAAGGCAGATTCCCTCCACTCTGCACAGGTAGACGCACACTCAGAGAACTCCATGTGAGGTTTGGAATGCTATTCAGTTTCATCCCACATAACACTTGGTTTACATTGTCCTTTATGCTGTAAGTCAAATTGGTGGCACCCGGAGTATTTTTAAAAAATCATCATAGGCCTGGCTGGCTTGGTTCAGTGGTTAGAGTGTCAGCCCTCAGACCAAAGGATCTCAGGTTTGATTCTGGTTAAGGGCACATACTGGGTTGAAGGTTTGATCCCCTGGCCCCAGTGCGGGTCGTGCAGGAGACAACCAATCAATGTGTCTCTCTCACATGGATGTTTCTCTTTCTCTTTCTCTCTCTCCCTCCCTCTCTTCCATTCTCTCTAAAAACCAGTGGAAAAATATACTCAGGTGAGATGAACAATAACAACAAATAAAATAAAAAATTGTCATAAACATGACTGGGAGAATTATTCAGTAGTCTCTATAGATTCATCAAATAACATAAATACTCCCGAAATATTACTGAGGTGGCAGCTTGATGCTTTTCTTTGTACCCTATATCTCTTCTAATGAAAACTGCTTTCTTGCCCTGGCCGGTTTGGCTCAGCGGTTAGAGAGTAGGCCTGTGGTCCGGAGAGACCCAGGATCGGTCCCCGCTAAGGTCACGTACCTCGGTTGCAGTTTGTCCCCGGCCCTGGTTGGTTGTGCAGGTGGCAGCCACTCGATGTGTCCCTTTCACATCAATGTTTCTCTCTCTCTCTCTGTCTCTGTCTCTGAACAAAAAATGGAAAAATGTCCTCGGGTGAGGATAAAAAAAAAAAAAGAAAACTGCTTTCTTTTTACTTCTGTTTCAATTGCCAATTTTGCATTCAGATTTGAGGGTGCTGCGTTGTTCCATCTTAAAGTTAGGTTGTATTTTCTTAGCTTAAGTGAATTATGGGGAATTTATTGAGAGTTGGTCAATATGCTTCCTCTTTTCACATCTCTCTGCTATTAGAACTTAAAAAATATCCTAACAAGGGTATAAAATATGTCATTTTTTTTTAGTAGCATCTCAAGAGAGAGAGAAGGAGGGAATGAGGGAGGGAGGAAGAAGATAGTTGTGTTTCTGGATTTCATTCAGAAGAAATTTAATTTAAAAGTCTTGGAATATCATTTTTAGTTCTTGAGACCATTATAATTTAAACTCTTTCACCCTAGTGGCATTGTATACCCTCAGTAAAGAAG